TGTGTGTGTGTGTGTGTGTGTGTGTGTGTGTGTGTGTGTGTGTGTGTATTCAGAAAATCTTAGACGCCAGATGTTTAGAGTAGAGGGGAAGTGGAGCTGGCGCCATGAAGGGCAGAGGGCAGGGAGAAGGCACGCGAGCAGAAACCACACACACATTCTTTCCTGCACACACACACACACACACACGCGCGCACATACACACTTGGCACATTCCCCAGCAGTTGCTCCAACATATTCCTCTACTCGTCTGCTCCCAGCCATCTGCTTTAATGCACTTTGATACACGGATGGAAAAAAAAACCTCGGTTATCCTCCGTCTGTCAGACAGCAGCAGCTGGTGGAGAGATGGGATGATGGGGGTGGGGGGTAGAAGTCATTTTCTCAGAGCCTCTGAGTCTGCACAGTTAGTTGGAAAACCTCTTTATCTTGAAAATGTAAGTGAAGAAAAAGAAAAGTATTCATTCATGTGAAACGTGCAAAACTCTTGAGCCCAGGTTGAATCAGGAACAACATGGTGTGTACAACAGTTGTCGGTAACACTTTACAATAAGATACACAAAATGTGCTTAACTACTGGGAAATGCCTCAGGAACGAATCAGGAGCTAATGGGTACTTAACTAGTACTTACTGGGGAACACACAACCAAGTCTTATTAGGGGACTACTGGTTTGTTACCACAGAAACAGAGAAGAAATTCTCCATATGGGTTCTGAATAAACCCTGCACCAGTGAGGTCACAGCTTTTAATGGTCAAAAACCGGTTTCCTAATGATTACTGATTCATTGGATTCTTACCACTGATAAGCAATTTCATCATCTTGTTCTGGTGTACAATGGTGGACATACCATTCTGTGTTCATCTGTCTCTCCTTCTTGTCCTCTCAAACCAGCCGGTCAAAGCAGATGGCCGCTTGTCCTGAGCCTGGTTCTGCTGGAGGTATTTTCCTTTTTAAAGGGAGTTTTTCCTTTCCACTGTTGCCACTGTGCTTGCTCAGGATGGGAGACTGTGATGAGGTGAAGATTCAACTTGTCTGCTGGCCTCCTTAGATAGAGAACTTTACTAATTGGCTTTTATGTATGTAAATGTTCCTGTAAAGTGCCCTGAGACAACTTTGTTGTGGTTTGGCACTATATAAATAAACTGAATTGAATTGAATTGAACTGGTGTCATCTTAGCTATGTCTGACGATCACTTACTGAGTACCAAATCATTGCCTGGATATTATTTTGTTCACTGATGTAGTGAAACATCAAACCAAGTACTTACTGAGGAACCAGTCATTACTTAATCACTATCCTGATGCATGCTCAATAATCCAGGTAGAAAAATCTAAAAAGCACTAGCGTGCTAATGATCCATCGTTAGACTGATGGTCCTTCTTGAGCATGTGATCAGCTGGTTTTGGTTGTCAGCAGCAAAACTGGTTGATCCACTCTGAGAAGGTGCTATTTAAGAGACTGAGCTGAATACAGCTGAGGAAGTCTCTCGGATGAGAGACAAAACATTTCTACATTTTTTTTTGTTGTTTTGCTTTGTTTTGTTTTTTTGAATGTCCAGAGGACCAGATTTAACTTTTTTAGATATACTTAATCACTACTTGACCATTACTGTTAGCTCCTGCTTCGTTCCTCTTTGGTTTCCATGGTAACAACCCATTAGTTCTTGATTAGTTCCTCTTGATTTACAAGGTAACTAACCAGTAGTCCCCTAATAAAGCTTGGCTGTGGGTTTCCCAGTAAGTACTGGTCAACTACCCATTAGCTCCTGACTCATTCCTGAGGCGTTTCCTAGTAGTTGATCAAATTCTGTTCCTTATTGTAAAGTGTTACCAAATTCACTCAACTGCATGCACTCATGGACTAAAACATTACAAGAAGTTTACTGCTTCCAGTCCTTCAGAGGCCTCATGAGGAAAAATAAGACTGTTTTTATTAATTGTTTTATGTTGTTGCAGTCAATAAACATGATTTTTTTTTTCAGACAAACCCTAAACGCTCCTCTAATTTGTACATTTCTTGTCAGAAGCTCTCATAACCTCACAGTAACTTTACTACACTCTCATCCACACTGTAAAAACAACTTTTAATCCCATATTTGTTATATCATAAAATAATGCAGTTCTCTCAGTAATATTTTTTAACCTCTACCACTCTACTACGTTTTTATATTAGCCCTCTCTGTCGTGAAAAATATGATTTAAAAAAACCACTCCATGTCTGACCGCTGAGTGACAAGAGGAAGTTTGACTGAAAGCAAGATCTCATTTTCATCAGCTGGATCTGGAGTCCAGTGGTCTGGAGGGTCTACACAAAACAGACTGGTATTTTTTTTAATGCCAAACAGTTATTTTGGGCATACTAATACGGACATTTTTAATTATTATTTATTTATTTTTTATTACCATAAAAAGTCATGTAAAGTTGATATTTTTATTTCAGGCTGAGATAGACTACTAAAAGATTAGGGGGAGTGGTGGCGCAGAGGCTAGAGAAGGTAGGCCTGTGATCAGAAGGTTGCCGGTTAAACTCCCTGGGCCGACAACATCAAAATGTGGGTGGAAAAGGTGAAGCACCCACACCTGCCTCCACTCTCATTTGAGCAAGGCCCTTAACCCCCACCACCTGCTCTCCCGGGTGCCCTAGTTAACAGTTCTCTGCTCCACACAGAGGGCTGTGGTAGCTCGGTGGTCTGTGGTTGAGTCAGGAAGGTGTGAGTTAGTTCGCTGTGATGACCCCTGAAGAAGACAGCAGCCAAAAGAACGAAGAAAAAATCAAGTTAAAAAATTGACCAGTAAAATTTATTTGACTACTTTTTCTAAGAATTGTTTTTTATTCTTCTTCTTTCAGCTTTTCCCTCTTCGGGGGTTGTCACAGCGAGTCATCCTCCTCCATCTCATTCTGTCCTCACTCCAACTACCTCCATGTTTTCTCTAACTGCATCCATATATCTCCTCTTTGTCTATTGCCTGGCAGCTGCATTTCTAACATCCTTCTACCAATATACCCACTGTCCCTCCTCTGGACATGTCCAAACCATCTCAGTGTGGCCTCTCTAACTTTATCTCCCAGTTGTTCAACCTGTGCTGTACCTCTAATGATTTCATTCCTAATCTTCTCCATCCTTGTCACTCCTAAGGAGAATCTCAACATCTTCATTTCTGCCACTTCCAGTTCTTTCTCTTGTCTTTTTGTCCATGTCTCTGTCTCCAGGCCATACAACATAGCTGGTCTCACCACTGTCTTGTAAACTTTTCCTTTGACCTTTGTTGACACCTTTTTGTCACAAATCACTCCTGAAACTTTTCTCCATCCACTCCATCCTGCCTGGACTCTCTTCTTCATTTCTTTACCACATTCCCCATTTTCCTGGACAGTGAACCCCAAGTACTTGAAATCCTGCACTTTTGTGACCTCTGCTCCTTGTAGCCTCACTGTTCCACTGGCCTCCCTCTCTTTCACACACATGTACTCTGTCTTACTACGGTTGACTTTCATTCCTCTTCTTTCAAGTGCATACCTCCACCTCTCCAAATTCTCTTCCACTTGTTCCCTGTTCTCACTACAGATCACAATGTTATCTGCAAACATCATACTCCATGGGGATTCCTGCCTGACCTAATCTCTTAGTCAGTCCATCACCAGAGCAAACAAGAAGGGGCTCAGAGCTGATCCTTGATGCACTCCCAACTCCAACTTGAAGTTATCTGTCACTCCTACAGAACATTTCACCACTGACCTGCTGTCCTCATACATGTCCTGCTGTCCTCATACATGTCCTGCTGTCCTCATACATGTCCTGCTGTCCTCATACATGTTTTGTACCAGGGAAGTTTTTAGTTAGTTAAAGGGACTTCAATGGTTAATCCAACCTGAAGTGTAAAGAGTAACGCTGCAGTTATTCTTCCACAACATGACGCTTCTCTCGTCAAGTAGTTTCAGACGTTGTCGCCTCACAGAGAAAACGCGGTGGAACTGGGAAGAGTTATCACAATTGTTCCCACAGCACTCCCAGTGTAGTGCACGTCACATGCACAGTTTCACACACTGTAGTGCCCCACAGTAGGCAAAAAAAGGAAGCCACGACTGACTGTGTTCTCTTTAGAGCCTTTATTAAGAAAAACAGTAAAGAAGACAAACAGGAGCTGCTGTCACTCATGGAGCTAGCTGACCTCGAGCTCACTCACTGTCTCATCTTCCCCAGTCCCACACATGCACACACAGACCATGCACACCTACTCCCATCATCATTAGTCCTGAGTCAGCTTAATTTGTGTGTTTGGTTTTCAGGAATGACGTTCACGCTGCGGCAGCGGTGGAAGGAGTACTGGGAGAATGAGAGACACAATGAAAATACAGCAAAGAAAAAGAAGATGACCGATGGAAGAACTGGACTCAAGCTGACCCAAGGCCCAGTTCACAAACACAGAATTCAGGAAACCGAGTTAAAACAAGCAAGATGGAGTTTAACAAGCCTTGTTGGAACATTCTGCTCTAACTGTTTTATTTCATAATAAATGCCCCGACAGGATCAAAAAGACTTCCTCACTCACACTCGCTCTGGTTTCTGTGGCTGTCTGCTTGTTTTCCTTTAATTTTAATAGTTAATTAACCATTAATTAATAGTTAATTAACAGTTAAGTAACCCTTGCAGGGACACCTAGTGGTCCGCTGCTGTTACAGCAGCAACACACATTCGTCTTGTTGAGTCCAACACAAACACAGTGAAGTCAGTCGTACGCAGCTGGGCTAACCGCTGCTCCACCGTGCAGCCCAAACCTACTTCTACTCACACACGCGGGTGATCATGTATTCTCTGAGCAGTGAAACCTAGCAACATGTTTGTTGGACTCTGTGGCTGAATTAGTGACAGACGAACCAAGAAACGTGAAAATACAAAGTTTATTTCTGCAGCTACCACTTCATGCTCGAGTCAGCCATGTTGGACGTTAACATCTGGAATCGACCCGTTTTTGAGTCATAAGGATTTTAGGGGTGTTCTGGTTGTTTTTTTATTTTGAACTGGAGAACGCTGATTTCTGAGGACAAACAGATAACTAAAGTCAGGGCGTGTCAGCAGCTCGTTGAAAACATTTACTGACGAGGACATGGCGATTGATGCAAAATAACAAAATTTCTGTAAATCTAAAAAAAACTTATACTTCTGTTAGACAATTTGCTGTAAAAGATAAAAACAAAAAGGAAATGCATGCAAGTAATTTTATTCCACAAATTCAACAATAAAACTTCTCAAAATGTTCCGTATGTGCACACATTCTTTTCTAGAAGCAGTAAGGAGTAATGCTAAAGGTTTAGGCAATGTTTAGTGTGTTATATGTAAAACTGACTAAATCTGAGCTATTTTTGTGTTCCCTGAGGCGAGCTGGACTTGGCAGCCATCTTGAATTTGATTAGTTGTAGATGAACAACCAATGATGTCCTAAAAGTTTCCGTACAGTTCAGCCGGTTCATGAGTTACAGATGCAGAGAAATGTCTTCGGACCCTTTAAATAAAGAAATAAAAATCCACATGGCTCATTGAAACAAGTTCAAACTGACTGAAGTAATACTAAAAAAATGGTCAAAAATCAACTATTGAAAATGAGTCATTACTTTTGAAGTTTTGTTAATTAGAAATAAAAAATAAAACAACTAATGAAACTGTGTGTCCTCTAGGACTGAAACTAGTCTGTCCACAGGGACATGTTAAACTCAGGTGTCTTTAGTCTGTCTGTTTAAAAGGTCACAGGTAGTCACAGGGCTGCCACATCCAGAGCTCACCACTCCCTCTCCTGGTGAACTTCGGGAATTACACCTACAACCCTAACTGCACTCAGTGCTCTATGTTGGGAGATGGGACCTTCTTCACTGACAAATATCAAACAATACACTTCAATGCGATTCCACATTTGGGGGTATAACATCTGCAGAGCTAATAGTTCTCCTGTGGACAGATTGTCCCTCATAAAGAGCTGTGTGTTGTCATCATTGAATGTTCCCATACAATGGTGAAATTAGTTCTCTGCATTTAACCCATCGAACCTGGAACACACATAGAGACACCACGACGTGTGGGGATGGCTCGCTGCCCTACCTCTACCATGAGCATTGGATCCCTGCAGCTCCTCCAGAGTTACCATGGGGCTTCTTGTCTGCTGCTCCTCCTGATCAGCCTCAGTCTTGGTAGGTCTGCAACCTTTATGCTTGAGCCATTTTACATCTTCTTTCACTAAATTCAAAGTGATCAGAGCCGTAACAACCTGCTGTGATTATCAACTGGTGGCCCGTGGGCCACTTTAGATTTGTTGGAGGGGCCTTTGTGGCCATTAGTGGTGACATTATAAAGCTTTAAAAAAAAACATCTCATAAGTTAGATTTTTACAATTTAAGACAAATGAAAAAAACAGATTATTGTGTGTGTGTGTTTAATTAATAAAAGCTATGAACTTTGTAGACCTATGGTTTTTTTATTGGGAAAAAATTAAGTATAGAAATAAAGCATAAAGTATGTTTTACTCCTTGTACATGTTCTAGTAAAAGAAATGAGGAAAACAGCTAAAACTAGTTCTTTTTTGTTGTTTGTATAACAACCAGTAAAATTCAGTTTTATGTTAGTGTTGGTCAAAGCTTGAAAGATCCACGTGTGGCTCGAGAGCCGTAGATTGCAGACCCCTGGGTTGGATTCTTTCCATTTCCAGATGATTGAACGGTACTGTCAGTTGTTCAAAGCTCGGCATATTCATCCATCCATTATCTTTTACCCGCTTCTTCCATTTTGGGTCACGGGGGTCACAGGTGCCCATGTCCAGCAATCACTGTGCGAGGGGTGGGGGACACCCTGGACATGTCTCCAGTCCATCACAGGGACACATAGAGACAAACAACCATTCACTCTCTCACTCACACCTAGGGACAATTTAGAGTTACCAATCAGCCTAACATGCATGTTTTTGGTCTGTGGGAGGAAACCAGAGAAAACCCACACATGCAGAGAGATTATGCAAACTCCACCCAGAAAGGCCCCTGGACAGAGATTTGAACCGGCAACCTTCTTGCTGAGAGGCAGCAGCTCTACTAGTTGCACCACCGTGCTGCCTATGCTCCGGATATTGTTTTATAAAATAACTGCTTTAAACTTCTCAATAACTTTATCCCTGAGCTGTTGGGCCTGTTCCTTGGTCTTCATTATGCTGTTTGATCACTAATGTTCTCAGGTTTCCAGAACAGCTGGACTCAGATTACTAATCAAGAGACTCCTGAAGCGGCTGAATGTAAATGTAATCCACAACCCGTCAGATTTATTTGTACTAGGGGTTGAACGAGTATATAATTTTTAAACTCGACATTAACATAATAAAACCCGAATAGAACTCGAGTATTTGATGACGTCATAGATCTCAAGATACAAAAATAATTAAATAAATAAAACCGCAAAAAAAGGTAATTATTTACAAAAAAAAAAAAAAAAGACCAACAAAACATTGGGAGCGTATATTATGCTCCTACCATTTATCATACTGCAAATAAGTCACAGGAAAAACTAAACTATTAGTTATTATTATTAAACTGCAAACGTGAATAAACGTGCAGCACGTCAAAAACGAAACTGTGTTTCTTCAAGTACTGGTCCGTAAATGAACGGCCTTAAACCGTGGAATGATCAGAGGATTATCAATCCACGTAAAATGAAAACGATAATAAAAAACACTTGAGAAGCGGCACCTTCGTTTCATTAAGCACTTTATTTTTTCTTTAATCTCCAAATTTCCAACAGTCGTGTGACATCTGGTTAAAGGTGGTATATTTACATTGTGACCGGCATACAGATGTTACCTGACCAAACTAATGAAGACTGTCATGAAGCTGAGGAAGCTCCTCGTCTGGGACGATCATGTCATGAAGTTCACCAGAAGCAGCTCTGCAGCGACACGTGCTGTCTTCAGGAACAACTAGCCCATGTTTTGTCGGTTTCCATAACCTCTGCGGTGAGTGTCCTTCCAGTCGTCCCAGTTTCTGGCTTTCAGCAAAGACTCCTCGTCGTCGTTTTCAGCTTTTCTTTCCTTCTCTTCACTCTCCCTCTCTTCTGCGGCAGTGTTGTCCTCTGCAGCAACTTTCCTCGGTACGCCTTGGTCGGGCAGGACTCCGTGTTTCGCGTGTTGCTCGTACCAGTCGTTCACCGTCATGGTGGGAAGGCTTGGGTAGCCCGCCCCGTACACTCGAGCCTGTGTGGGAAAAATAGGGGTTGAACGAGTATATAACTTTTAAACTCAACATTAACATAATAAAACCCGAGTAGAACTCGAGTATTTGATGATGTCATAGATCTCAAGATACAAAAAATAAATAAATAAAACTGCAAAAAAAGGTTATTATTTACAAAAAAGACCAACAAAACATTGGGAGCGTATATTATGCTCCTACCATTTATCATACTGCAAATAAGTCACAGGAAAAACTAAACTATTAGTTATTATTATTAAACTGCAAACGTGAAGAAACATGCAGCACGTCAAAAACGAAACTTAAAACAGTGTGTGTGTGGGGGGGGGGGGGTCCGACCACCCCGCACCACCGCCAGCTGTGGTGCGCATTAAGTTTAGTATTAGAGATTAATATGTTTATACATTTTTTTTAATAGGTTTAGAGATTAATATTTTTTGCTTTTTGTTTGTGAAACAAGGTCAGAGGAAGCTGGTTCTGGTTCGGTGGATTGGACCCGGTGTTACACCATACTCTGTGACCTGCAACAGTGCAACACCGCCCCCTACGGTCAACGTAATGACGTCACTACGGATACTCAACGTTACATTTTTAACCTCGATAGATGTCCTAGCAATCGATGTGTAGATTTCTCGAGTACTCTGTTAATGCCCTAGGGAAAAACATGTAAATCACATCCGGCTCATGTCATAAGACAGGCTGTGCACACAGGAAGTTACGTCTCCACTCTGATTTTCTGCATTTAACTCATCTGTCTGTTATAACTGATGTTCTTCAGCTCAGCCACGTTCAGTTGAGCATGCACTAAATATCAGGTGAGTGCAGGCTCATTACTGACAGCTGCAGGAGTGCAGCGGACCAACACGCAACACGCCGATGTCCCCCGTCTGAGGGATTTGTTAGCGAACTCATATGAAGACTTGATTATTTTTATGCCGAATGCTCTTCCTGACACATCCACAGACACGGAGCTCCACAGACAGTTCTCTGTGTGGAGCAGAGCTGCATCCAGCGTGCCCGGGGAAGCACTCATTCAACCTTTATTTATACAGGTTAATCCCATTGAGCCTCAGGGACTCGTTTACAAGAGAGACCAGAACTGGATGGTGGGGGTTAAGGGCCTTGCTCAAGGGCCTAGGGTGGAGGCAGGTGTGGGTGTTTCATCTTTCCCACCCACAATTTGATATCGGTCCAGGGAGTTAAACCGCGGCTTGTACACAGGAGCGGCTAATTTATGTATATTTTAAATTTTATTTTAATATTTTATTTTGACAGGCTGCCAAGCTTCCTGCTGCCGAAAAGCATTTTCCTTTGGCGCACCTGGGCGCGCAAATAGCTGCCCCACACACTCCCTTCTTGAGGGTGGGTTTTTGTGACACACAGTGCTCTTGACAGAAAACTCTCGCTTACGGTTCCAATTTTACTACTAAATACCCATAATTCCATTCTGTGGCCATGTGACCAGAAGTCACCCTAATGACCAAAGAGGTACCGTATTCTCACTGAGTCACAAGAACACACCCACAAGACAGATGTGCATTGATCAGATTTCCCGTTTAAAAATCTGCAGGCTCCTCAGATAAATAACATTATTATCAGATCTCCTGATGTATGCTCAATAATCCAGGTAGAAAAATCTAAAAAAAAGTTAAGTCCGGTCCTCTGGACATTCAAAAACAAAACAAAACAAACAAAAAAGGAGAAATGTTTCTTCTTTCATCCGAAAGACTTCTTCAGTCTTAGGCTGTGTGTGTTATTAACAGACTTTTTTATATATGAATGATTCTGTTCATTTATTTTTATATATAAATGTTTCTGTTAATTTATTTTTATATATGAATGTTTCTGTTAATTTATTTTTATATATGAATATTTCTGTTCAGTGCCCTGAGACGACTTCTGCTGTGACTTTGTGCTATATAAATAAACTGAATTGAACTGAAATACAGGTATGTTAAATAGATAAATAAATAAATAAACGGTGTGGGGCGGAGGGACTGTGTGGACACAGCGACTGCAGCGCGGGGGTTTCCCACCGTGCAGATTCTGACTAAAAGAGCATAAAATAAAATGCCACAGAAACAACATCCATCCATCAGCAGTTAAAAACTGTAACATTTTCTATCTTGTAATAAGCATCAGTTTATTTTTATGTTTGTTATAAAGGGGTTATTATAAAGTCGTCCTCCAATGCAAGCATTGGGGGTTCAATTCCACCAGCAGTCTCATTGTGCTGCACCATATGGACCAAAGTTTATATCTTGATATTTTTAAGATAAATAGTGATATATGATATATATCTCGCCCTGTGATGGACTTGCGGCCCGTCCAGGGTGTACCCCGCCCCTCGCACAGTGATTGCTGGATATGAGCACTGGCGACCCCCGTGACCCAAATGGAAGAAGAGGGTAAAGATAATGGATGGATGGATGGATGGATATATATCTCTATATTCAAACATCTGCTAAGTTCATGGCACAAACCAATGCAGACATGTTCCTGTTTTTAGTATTTTACATTGCTTTATAATGTAGCTGCTTTTGTTTTATTTTTTAATATAGTTTTCTTCCATTTATTTTTTTCAATTCATATGCTTTGTTTTATGATTGTCCACTGTTGTCATCATTATTTGTTAAAATCAGGTCTCTCTTGTAAATGAATCTCGAGGCTCAATGAGACTAATCTGTAGAAATAAAGGCTGAATGAATTAATATTTTTTTCTTTCCATAAAGTAATAAAAATATATTTCTGAGTCAAAGCTTTGTTCCATTTGTCACACAGACACATTTATTAACAAACAGCTGTAACTCTACTAAAGGTCTAAAAAATAAACTATTTACCGTACATATATTAAAAAATAATCCTCTTCAGCTGCACTGTCTTCACGTTAGTAAGCATGTGTGAAGCAGCACGTGAAGCACAGCTGAAGACACGGTCCTTAGCTGCTAACTTTAGCTGTCTTGTTATCCGCTAAGGACCGTGTCTTCGATATGATAAGCTGCTGATTTATTAATGTTGCGGCATCTCTCTCTGTTCCTCTCATATGGAACAGCACAGCTAATAAATGAGTTTTGACCCGTGGTTTGTCTCAGGAAATGAATCTGAAAACACAGTCGGAGCTGCAGCGTGAAATAGATTCGTAGTTCTGACCTGTTGTCGGGACTTGTTTTCAGCATCGTATACAGAAAACATTTTGGCTGCTGCTCATCTGACAATTTAAATTAAAACTATCTCCAAATAACAGCCATTGTTTTTCCCTTTGCACAACAGCTAAGCTAATGACTTTAATAACATCCCCAGAAAGGAATCGATGGATGCACATCTACAACTGAGCCAACCCAATTCAAGATGGTCACCACAGCCAACTCGCCACAGAAAACAAAAATCTCACACCTGGCCTCCGTCACTCTGCAGCTCACACCTGGCCTCCATCACTGCAGCTCACACCTGGCCTACGTCACTCTGCAGCTCAGACCTGGCCTCCATCCCTCTGCAGCTCACACCTGGCTTCCATCACCCTGCAGCTCACACCTGGCCTCTGTCACTCTGCAGCTCACACCTGGATTCCATCACTCCTCACCTGTACAGCATCCTTGGTTAGGATGAAGGGCTTCATGGGCTGTCTGGCGTGCTGAACTGGATGCTTGCCATGTCCGTGCTTCAGAACATCCATATTCCGGAGCAGCTCCACCTCCTGGTCAATGGTTTCCATTTCCTCCAAACAAATGGTCACCCATCGTCGGACGGTCAGAAGATACAAGTCCCTGGTGACTTCATCGTCAGCCTGTCCACTGTCCACGGCTCTCTGGACGTCGGACAATCTGGCCTCCAGCTCCTTCCTCTGGCGATACCGCTCGATTTTAGATTGTCTCTTTGCTGCCATGGAAACCAGGTCGGATGGACCTGCAGGAACAGACTGAACCCAATGGTACACAGAGAGATGAGGGTATTAGTTTAGTCATTCTGGCTTCAAACGATTCATTAACTTCTTTCTTTGTGTCACCACAACATCAACACATTAGAAACAAAAACACTCAGATAAGAATAAAAACACTTCCAAAGACCTATGCACAGATCAATAAGAGACCAACTAATTCAAAACCTAAAAAAAAAAGCTTTTAAATTATAATTAAATATTTAATTTAATTATAGATCGGATGATCTATAATGAAACTTCATATATGGGTGTGGAGGTCATGGTTAGTATTAGTTGTTGAAATGTGAGTGATGTGTAAAGTTACTGTATTTAAGAGTATTTTTCTTAGTAATAAAAGTTATTTTCACATTTGACATATATATATATATATATATATATATATATATATATAAACATGACTCAGGCAGCACGGTGGCGCAACTGGTAGAGCTGCTGCCTCTCAGCGAGCAGGTCCCTGGTTCAAACCCCGGTCCAGGGGCCTTTCTGGGTGGAGTTTGCATGTTCTCTCCATGCATGCGTGGGTTTTCTCCGGGTACTCCGGTTTCCTCCCACAGACCAAAAACATGCATGTTAGGCTGATTGGTAACTCTAAATTGTCCCTAGGTGTGAGAGAGTGAATGGTTGTTTGTCTCGTTTGTCTCTATGTGGCCCTGTGATGGACTTGTGACCTGTCCAGAGTGTACCCCGCCCCTCGCACAGTGATTGCTGGACATGGGCACCGGCGACCCCCGTGACCCAAAATGGAATAAAGATAATGGATGGATGGATGGATAAACATGACTCTGTTTTGGCTGCTACAGGCACCTGTAGAGGAAGGGGCAGGCATATTTATTAACATTTATCGCTAAAAACAACATTTATAGCAGAATAATGTCTGAATAATGTCTAGAAGAACTAAGTTCTAGCAACATATGACTGACTGAAAAATATGACAAGATGAATACCCGGTCTGGTCTTATCAAGAGTGGGGTGAGCTAACATAAAAAAACACATCAGCTGAACTGTGATGAGTTTATTACAGACTTTGTAGCTGTATGTGTTGAATAAAATGTTCTGCTATACAAAAAAAAAAAAACTGTTTTAGACCAAACTTTAAATTATGTACAGAAGTCTCAGTCTGTCTAAAGGAGGAGGACTCATCTGCTCACCAGTCCTTTGATTGATAATGTCTTATTGGTGCCAACTCATCAGCCCTGTTACCATCATATACCAAATTTTAGTCCTGTAACACATATTTATAAACAAAAAGTAAAAAATAGACACCAAAACAAGTGTAAAGATTGATACGGAATGTTGTGCTTTGACTTTCGACAATATGTTACACAACTTGGATAGAAATCACAAAAAAATTAAAGAAAAATAGGAAGATTTGAGTGAAACTCATCTTAAGCTCAGACAGACTTATTATTATTATTATAAATTTTATTTGAAGGCTCTTTTCAAGTCACTCAAGGTCACCGAACAAGAAATACAAGGATAAAAACAATAAAAGCCTTTGCAGTAGAAACACTGTTTAAAGTTTAAACAGGCCACACACAGTTGGTCTGCAAATGAACTGCTATTTTAATATCCTGATGTTTCTTACACAAATCACAGTTAAGATTTTTTTTTTTAAAGTTTTTTAACAAAATGTTGATTCGACTTCTTTCACCCACTGTGTCTCTCACTGCTACATGATTTCAGCCTTTTATGTACAGTAGATCAAAAATGTTTCAGTTCAAAATAAACTCTTAAAAACTGAAAGTGAGGGTCTTTTTACTTGTCCTACATAAACCGACAGAAATGTAAAAAAATAACTTCGTGACCACCAGAGCTTCCTGGAGCTTATGGTTCTAGATTTTTTAAGATCTGACGTATAGTTTTCCTACAGCGGCTGTGTGTTTGAGACTTATTTTTCAGTCTGTTTCTGTCTGCCTCTTAATAACATGGAAGTCAGGGAGTGTCAGACAGGTATGTGGTTGCCATGGTGACCATGATGCGCCACTGGCAGCAGCTTTGTCATATTTTTAGCTTGGTTTTCTTTATTCTTCTCATACATATCACAACATCAACATTTATTTATTATTATTATTAAGTTACATGTTTGGGGCAGCTGTCGCAGTTCTTCAGAAATGTTCTGGCTAAATCCGTCACTAACCTTGGCTTTAGACCCGGACGCCTCCTCGGGCTCGTCTCCATGTTTGGGCAGCTCAAAGTGAGAAATGTGGTACTCCTTACATCTTCTTAAGAAATCCATGAAGTAGGTCCGGGCGGCCTGGACCGTGTTGAGACGGGTTTCCCTGCTGGTCAGCTTCATGTGGAGGGCTCCTAACAAGGCGGGCAGCAGCAGATACTTCAGGTCTGCCGTGGAGATCTCCTCCAGCTCCTCGTTCCGGCTGAACAGGTCGAGCTGAGCCACCATTCTGGACGCCTCCTCCAGCATCTGGATGGCCCGCTTCACGTTGGCCTGGACAGCCGTGGAGCCCAGAGGTTCGCTCGTACTGTCCACATCCTCGAATATTTTCCTGCCACGCTCGAGAAAGTCCGACAATTTAAACAGATCTGTGTTTGAATTCGATGGCTCTGTTGCGCTGTTTTGATTCTCACTTTCCGCCATCTTGATTTTTTGTGGTCTTTTCTTCTTCCTCGTCTTCTTCTTCGTGGGAATTAAACGTCGGAGCTCTTCGTTACCGCCGCCTGCTGGCTAACTGTCCTGTTTTCTAATGCGCATACGTAAAGTCCTTTTATTTATTTTTTTAAACAAACTTTTTTTTTTACTCATTCACCCTTTATTTACATAGGTTAGTCCCATTGAGCCACGGGACTCATTTACAAGAGATACCTGACCTTTATACAGTATTTTATAAATCTTTATTAAATGTAACACATTACAAAGGCAGCTATCAACATATATTCAAACAAATAAACAAATGCTGGGGGAAATCAAATTAATGCATTTAAAAAGTGCACAAATCAAATGTTTTAACAGCTTTGTGTTGTTAAAGTCAGAGATGTTTACTGTTCAGAATCCTTCTGGAACAACAGAAAAGAGAATAGTGACAAAACTTTGTTTTGTGTATGTGGTGTTTCCCTAAGAGTATTATTAGATTTATGATTTATAGCTCTTTCTGTTTTTTTGCAGTTGACACCGTGGACTCCAAACAGTACATTGTTTCAACTTAAACAGAAATCAGTCAATCTTGGTTAGAATGAATCAATTTTCTTTCACACATTAATCTTTCTTCAATTTGAACATGGCAGGGTAATATCTATGAATTAATTTATATGAGACTCTCTCTATTTGTTTATAATATCTCAAGTTATACACATTGATCCAGTTTAGACCATTTGTAATGTCATGTCAGCCCAGTGATGAAGACAGGAGGCAATGTTAATATTTATTTGAAATAATGATCAAATATAGCTATTTTTATTTTTTGGGATTTGACAGAAAAACATATTTGACCTATTGGTGTGATCAAGGGGTCATATACAGAGGAGCACATGCTGGTTTCTCAGCACTACTTCAAAAAGTTCAAAAACAAAAACAATAGATGACCTTTCAATTATTCATATTAATACTAGAAGTTTAAGTGCAAATTTATTAAATATAACAGATTATTTAAAACAATTACACAGAACATTCAGTATAATAGTTGTCTCAGAAACATGGTCTAATGATGAAATGATATAAACAGTGTTAACATTGAAGGGTATGTGTTAGGATTTGCTAGGCAGGAGCGAACCCAGAGTGCAGACAGGGACTCAACTCGGCAGAATACAAAAATAGGAATTTAATGATAAATAAGGATACAAAATAACAGGCTGACGGGGCAGCAAAACTTACATGAAATAGGAACATAAGGCACGGGAAACTCAGGAGGACTCAGGAGACACGGAAGTCTCAGGGAAACTCGGAAGACTCAGGGGGAACACAGGAGACCCAACAAGTACGACGCTACAACGAACAAGATTGACAGATGGCTTATATACAGGGACAAGACGAGACGTGATTAAGAACAGCTGGGACGAGACAAGGGTGGCACTAATAGAACTAACGAGGGAGCACAAGGGAAACACAGACACAAACCGGGCCACCAAATGGTACCATCCTTACAGTATGAACTTTATTATATGAACAGAAAAAATAAACGAGGTGGTGGAGTAGCTCTATTTATAAATAAAAAAATAACATGTAAAAAAAATTGACAAAATGTCAGTTATAGTAGAAAATCTCATGCAGATGATTACAATTGAAATAATAAACATTAATTCAAAAAATATAATGATAAGTTGTGTCAATCACCTGAGTCAAATATAGAACTATTCAACGATCAGATCATGGGCTGGAGGGGAGCATTAATAAAACTGTGTTTTTGTGTGGAGACTTCAATATCGACTTATATAAAAATACAGACTCAAATAACATCAATACATTCATTAATTCAATGAATAATTTAAATCTGTATCCATTAATATCTATACCGACAAGAATTACCACTCATAGTGCCACTATAATTGATAATATCTTTACAAACATAACTAATACAGAGATAATGGGATGAATTTTGATTACTGACATAAGTGACCACTTACCAGTTTTCACAATTTATGGTAAACATCAATGCATATAAAAGGAGATACAAACAAGAGAAAAATAATAAATACATCAAAAAAGGCTTTGAATAATCTAATAGACGATTTACAGAAACAAAATTGGAAGACGGTGAATGTTGATGATGTTAACATAGCATATGAAGTATTTATGAATACCTTGGTAACATTGTACGAAAAACATTGTGTGCAAAAAAATTATACAAAACGAAATATTGTTGATAAACCACAAATGGGTTGAAAAACACTTGTTAAAAAAAACAATTTGTACTCGTGCTTCTTGAAATTGAAAGCAAAAGAAGCAGAAGAAAGATGCAAAAAGTATAAAAATAAACTGGTTAAGATCATAAGAAAGCATAAGAAGGAATATTATAATAATTTATTAGACAAAAGTAATGGTAATATGAGAACAACATGGCAAATAATGAATAGCGTTCTAAAAAATCATGAATCCAAATCAAGTATTCCACAATATTTTGTAAAGGATGGTAATAATATCCATGACCAAAATGTGATTGTAAATTAGTTTAATAATTATTTTGTAAATGTTGGCCCATGCCTTGCAAACAAAATACCTACAATAGATACAAACGTGAATCACAAAATTACAAGTTGTGAATTTGTGGATGAATGCCTCCCTTTTATAAAACCAGTTTGGTCAGGATGTATTGTCCTTTCCAATCTTTTTGAGAGGGCTTTACAAATTATTTGAAGATCAACATTGATAAGGTCCAAAAATGTTCAATCTGGTCCTCTGGACATTCAAAAAACAAGAAAACAAAAAAACAAAACAAAGCAAAAAAAAATGTAGAAACGTTTCGTCTCTCATCCGAGAGACTTCCTCAGTCTGAGGTGTTGTATTCAGCTCAGTCTCTTAAATAGCACCTTCTCAGAGTGGATCAACCAGTTTGCTGCTGACAACCAAAACCAGCTGCTCACATGATCAAGAAGGACCATCAGCCTAACGATGGATCATTAGCACACTGATGGCTGTTTACTGTTCACAGAGGGCTGAGTGATACTAGCAATCACAGCATTGTAAGAGGGGGACAGTTGAACCCGGAGGCCTCCACCCCTGTTTAATGATGGACGATTTCTTTTCACAAAGATGGCCTCCTTTACTCCTCTCTCAAACCATCGTTCCTCTCTGTCCAGGATGTGAACATCTTCATCCCTGAAAGAGTGACCGCTGGCCTGGAGATGAGTGTAGACTGCAGAATCCTGGCCTGATGATGTTGATCTTCTGTGCTGGGCCATCCTTTTGGCCAGTAGCTGTTTAGTTTCCCCGATGTAAGACTGATCACAGCCCTCCTGACACTGAACAGCATACACAATATTTCTCTGTTTGTGCCGGGGAATTAGATCTTTGGGATGAACCAGTCTTTGCTGTTACGTATTTTACCATACCATACCATACCACTTTATTTATAAAGCACCTAAAACTGCAACGAGGCTAACCAAAGTGCTGTACGGACAGAACAACAGGTAACACACAAAGCAATACAGAAAATGAGGTAAATCAGAATATAGACATAAAAATGATGCAGATAATGACGACAAACCAGTGTGGAGCATATAGGGGGGGGGGGGGTGACACTGTTCAGTGATTTGTAGACATACATGAGTATTTTGCACTGGATTCGAAAGTGAACCGGTAACCAGTGCAGTGAGGCCAAAACTGGTGTAATATGCTCTCTTTTACCTGTACTGGTTAAAAATCGGGCTGCTGCATTATGGACCAGTTGTAATCGTGCAATGGAGCTCTGACTGATACCAAACAGGAGCGAATTGCAGTAATCAAGCCTAGATGTAATGAATGCATGTATTACTGTCTCCAGGTTATTTTTGGATAATATGGGCTTCAGTTTAGACAGACACCTCAGTTGGAAGAAGCATGATTTAACAATCATGTTTACGTGATTGTTAAGTTTCAGGGAAGGGTCCATTATCACTCCCAGATTAGTGACTCTTTGTTCTATTTCGTATAGGCTTCGCCCTTTAAGGCTGTCGCTGATGGGTTTATCCCGATATGTGAAGCATTGCACTGAAAAATTTAGTCCACGCCCACCTGCTGTGTGGGCCCCACCCGGTCCATATAAATTACGTTAAGAGCAGGAAATCGGTTCCCATTTTTTCTTCAGCAAGCTAATAGCACTGTCAGAAGAAGAAGAAGGAAAGTTGTGTAGATGAACAACCTTTGTTAAGAATGCATGGCCCGGCACGTCGACCTCCGGTCGTCCGGTGAGCTCTCCTCCCCGAGGAGAAGCTGACGAGCAGTCTTGTTTCAAGGTAAGCACCGAGGAATATTTCTCAGTGACAGGTCGCTACACGCTGGACAACGCCATCTTGTAATTTCCCTCTTATTGCCGACCCCCGGAGCGAATCGGATGGTTCCTCCGGGACAGGCGGTGCTCAGCTGCAGCCCCCCGCTGCTCATTCCCTCCTGGAGAGCATAGTGTCGGTGGAGGGGGGCTGAGCGAATGCTCACCTCATCCCACCTCATTTCGCATCGGCGATCACACCGCTCCCGGCCGACGGCACACTCTGGGGTTGCCCGGCGTAACCCAGGAGGCGCCTGACATGAAGGGACCCTTTTTTACGTCACACGCCTTTCCCGCCAGTTGTTTTTTCTAGGTTCCATTCCGGCTCACTGTCTTGATCCATCTGGCCTTGTTTTCCCAACAGGACGTCCTACGGGCGAGGCCACAGCCGGTTTTCCTGGTAGATTGGGAGGCCAGTCTCCACAGTCCGCACCCATCTCCAGAGCAGCGGTTCACTGTTTGTGACACGAGAAACGCTCAGTGTCAATTATGCGTTTCTCTGAGCCCACAAGACAAACCACCGCTGGGGGTGGATGTGTTTTCCCACAGCCCATGGCCCAAAATGCTTTTGTACGCTTTTTTCTCCACCTCCTCTGATTTTACGGTTCTTGAACCGAGTTCAGGAGGAGGGATTGACAGCTCTCCTGGTGGCCCCGAACGCGTGAGCACACCATGGTTCCCAGTCCTGCAACGCCTGCTGTCGGGGTGCCCGTGGAAACTG